AAAGCAGAATGAAAGCAAATGAGAGACCCTCCGCTAAATCCCAATGGTTGGAGGTCTTTTTTAAGGCTGAGAGTTTTGACTACCACAGATTTTTACCCAGATAGTGAAGCTATGGGGTTCTTACTTCAAATAACAATGAGTTGCCCGTGCGCGCTTTTGAGACAGGTTGCTGGTGCTGGGTGCCGGTGCTGGTGCTGTGAGCTGGCGGTGCACGTGGTGGAGACAGGTTTGGTGCCGGGTGCTGGTGCTGGTGCCGGGTGCCGGTGCTGGTGTATGGGCCTTGCCGTTTGCGCGCATATGTTTATGCGCATAAACATACGCGCAAGATCATACGGCCTTTTCGTTCTGCAGATCGTTGCTTCAAGCGTGCTACAAAGTCAATAGTGGCGCTGGATACTGCTTGGCCTTGGGCCCATGACACTTGAGGCTTTGCTGTTTGCGCGCATACTTCTGTGCGCGTAAGCTTATACGCGCAAGATCATACGTTGTTATTCCCCAAATGAGAATAGCTATGGGGTTCTTGCTGCAAATGTGCTGGTGCTGGTGTTGTGGTCCTGGGTGCTGGTGTTGTGAGCTGGCTGAGCGCGCGGACGGGCGGTGGCGCTGGTCGGTTCTGGCGCCGCTGCCGGTGCTGGTGTCAGCTAATTGTGCGCGCTGTGGAGGTGCCGTAAGCTGGCTGTGCAGGCTGCGTACATTCTTGTTCCAGCCATTCGCATGTCAACAAGTCGTGGGATTCTGCCTAGCTATCTGGGTCTATGCTGGTGTAATTGTTTCATAAGGGGGGGGGTTACTACTGAGAGGTTAACATTATAGCATTACTGGACCAAGACCCCCTTGTTTCTCAAACTCCTTTGTTCAAATCTTCACATCTAACGACATTTGGTGAACTCCACGTCTAACGCAGTTGGAGGGTACGGTAGGTGACTAGTCGCTCCCCGGGTCCCGCTCCGGTGACATACGGTCGCCCGGTGGCACTTCGTTCTGCTGCTTGACTTTGGTGGCTTGGATGCTTCGCAACGCATTCACCGTCGCCGTGATGGAGCCCACGAAGGAGGAGAAACAACCTGATCTTGGTTGAGCACGGAGGGTGCTTGAGTGTGGACGAGCATTTTTCAGGTGACTTCAGTCCAAATCGTGTTCGAGAACTGGGAAGAATGGATTGCTGAGTGTTTTTGCCCTACTTCACTAAGTAAAACTATGATTTGTCAGGTGCTGGATGGCCAACCCACTTGGGAACTGGAAAAAGATCACTTGCGCACTTTACCTCACTTGCGCACCGAGCACTCACTTGTGCGCTTTCAGAAGGGAGAAGGTGAAAGGACATTTAACAAACTATATAAAGAATCTAATGGGTGGGGTGGGGGGAAGGGTGGCAACAGGCAACCTACAACCAC